CATTGGGTGGCCAAGGCGGGTATATCACAAGGTCGGGAGATTAAGGCCATCCTGGCCAACATGGTGAAACCCGGTTTCTACTAAAAATACAAAAAAATTAGTTGGGTGTGGTGGTGCACGCCTGTAGTCCCAGCTACTTGGGATGCTGAGGCAGGAGAATTGCTTGAACCCAGGGGGCAGAGATTGTAGTGAGCCAAGATTGCGCCACTGCACTATAACCTGGGCAACAGTGTGAGACTCTGTCTCAGGAAAAAAAAAAAAATTATCATCATCAGCCCAATTTACGTTTTTGCTATTGGAAAGATATGGTATATAATCTGATCATCCTCTTGTCCTGTGAAATGGGAGGAAAAGTCATCCGTTGAAGTCAAGGAGGAAGGTAGAATGGTCAGAGTTTTGAAGAACTGTTCAAATAATTAATTGTAGGGAGTCCTAGAAAATACAGAAGTATGGTACGTTTTTTGGGCTGTAATGAAGAGAAAACTAAGGCTTGGAATCATTAATGCTTAGTGGTTTAAAGCTTCTGTTGACTAAATTGTTTGTTTTCCAGGTAGTGTTCAACATTTCTCTGGTAAGAAAAAAAAAAAGCTGAAAACAAATAACTGGCTTTGTGTAGTGTTTGGTTTCTCCAGATGAATAGGCTGAAAGAGTAGATGAACAAGAGACTTATTGTTATTGGTAAGATAGTGATTGATACAAAAGGTCATGAAATCTGAAGTCAACAATGAAGGGAGTAAAGAGATAAGAGTCCTTAGAGTTAGGGAAAAAGTATAAGGGACAATGCAAGGTCAAGATTTCCTTGAAGAATGTCTAGGTGGAAACAGTTAAATGAGGAATCTGGCAAGAGGGGATTGTGACCCAAGAGTGGGGTGAAATTGGGAAAATGTAAGTAGTAATGAGATGGGGCTAAAACAGAAAGCTTAAGCACTGCCATCTTATAGAAAAACCACCTGGGCCCTGAGCAGAGTTGTAGTTCTCAGAACTGTTATTGTATTGCAATTCTCAGAAGTGTTATTTTCTAAGGTTAAAAATTTCTACTGCTACCCCCCTTCCCTTGCAACAAACTGCTGACTTTAGCTTCTGTACAAACAGCTTACCTTGCCCATCCCTGAGCCACCCGAAACAAGGATATAGTTTTGCAGCTTAAATACCTTGCTCCCACTGAGCTTGGGGCTACGGGTTGGAGAGACGTGAGTCCTCCGTGGCCACTGGCAATAAAGACCCTGCAATTTGACATACGTTTGTCGTGGTGTTGATTTTCTTTACTCACTCTGGTACAACAGTAATATCAGGATATGACTGTGGTACGGTAGATGAAGTGGAATGGAGGAAAATGATATGAGAGATGAAGATCAAATCTCATGTTGAATTGTGATGAGTTATAGCTGATATATACTGACATTATCCTTATGTACGTTTATTTTGTGATGTTATCGAACTATTACATCTTATTTGTTCAGTTGACTTTCTAAGGATCCCAGCTGACAAATGTTCGGAGAGGCTAAGCAGTGGACAGATATTCCACATGGACCTAATTAGGACTTTAAAAAGACCATCCAGGATGATATTTGGAATGAGGTTGGAGAGCCAAACACTAAAGTCTTTAGAGACTAAAAGGGAGTGACCAGGAGGCTGGTAAGAGGACAGATGTCAGAATGTATATTCTGTTGACAGCAGCCTGAAAAGAATAATTTATTTTTTTAAGGAAAGTTGAAGCAAAGAGGATCCTGTTCTTCTCTGCAGACCCCTGAGGTAGGTGGGATTTTAGACAATAAACATAAGTCATGAGAGGCTGCTGGGGAAGCACTGTCGTTAGCCAAGCTGGGAAGAAGTGTTGAGGGTGAATATTGGTTAGTCACGGAGCTGCAATTCCAAAAAGTATGTGGGAAGGAAGGGCTTTGTAGGGCAGATGGGAGTAGGGTTTAGACCAGCATGAAAGGACATAGTTTTATGTGGTAGGGAAATATATATACATGTATCTGTATCTCCTTCCTGCCTTATTGACTTCATGAGTCCAGACTGAATATTACAGTTTCCTTCTAGATTCTGGAAATGTGTTTTTCATCAGTTTTAGTTTTAGTTATGCCATTTTTGTCTTCCTCAATGTTTTCATCAATTTTTTTTTTGTGTGTCCAAATTTGGGAGGGGCTGCTAACAGATGCTATTTTGAACTGGAAGTTCACCTACATATTTCTCTATTACTATTACGGTTATTTTCTTTTCTTTTAAATCCCTCTGATATAGTTTGGATGTTTGTCTCTGCTCAAATCTCAAGTTGAATTGTGATAAGTTGTAGTTGATATATACTGAAATTATTCTTATTGTACATTTATTTTGTAATGTTAGCAAACTATTATATCTTATTTGTTCAGTTGACTCTCTAGGGATCCCAGCTGACAAATGTTCTCCTGGCATTTACTATTCATGTAGTGTTGCTGCTATTTAAATAAGAAGTTTTCTTAAAAAACTAAAAAAATACTTTTTTCCTTCTTTCTGGCGTTCAAGATGTGGAAGCGAGGATGTGTTGGGTCCTCTGGTGCGAAAGTTCAGGTTTTCTTGCGTCTTTCTAGTAGGAGCTGTGATCAACTGTGCTGACAACACAGGAGCCAAAAACCTGTATATAATCTCCATGAAGGGGATCGAGCGACAGCCGCTGGTGTGGATCCCAAAGTGCTGGGATTACAGGCGTGGCTCAATATTTACTTAGGGAAAAAGGCTATAATTCTGATGTAAAACTCAATCTGTGAAAACAAGAATTTCTTTTTTTTTTTTTTTTTTTTTGAGACGGAGTTTCGCTCTTGTTACCCAGGCTGGAGTGCAATGGCGTGATCTCGGCTCACCGCAACCTCCGCCTCCTGGGTTCAGGCAATTCTCCTGCCTCAGCCTCCCGAGTAGCTGGGACTACAGGCGTGCACCACCATGCCCAGCTAATTTTTGTAGTTTTAGTAGAGACGGGGTTTCCCCATGTTGACCAGGATGGTCTCGATCTCTTGACCTCGTGATCCACCCGCCTCGGCCTCCCAAAGTGCTGGGATTACAGGCTTGAGCCACCGCGCCCGGCCAAAAACAAGAATTTCTAATATTAATAATCATGAATGAAGAAGAGTTTCAAACCTTGTTTTTTTTTTTTTAAACTCCCAACCTGATTTCTGAAGTCTTAAAAGTATTGAAACATTTCTTTCTTCTTTTTTTTTTTTTTTTTT